ATATATATATATATATATATATATATATATATATTGCAATCTTTTCACGATAAGTCTTCTCAACAGCTCTATTTCAGCGCTTTATTTATTCCTGTTCTATATGTATCAAATGATGAAAAATCATTCTGGCCTTCTATCAACACTTGCCTCTTCCTGTCCTCTTTTTTTTCTCTCTCTCCCTCTCTCTCTCTCTCTCTCTCTCTTTCTCTCTCTCTCTCTCTCTCTCTCTAGATGTGTGGACAGTGCCCAGGCATATACAGGTGAACTCCTCAGCAGTGGAGCTTCACTGGAGCCAACCTCTCAAACCCAATGGCCTGCTCTCTCAGTATCGGCTGCTGCGTGACAGAGTGGTCATCTTCACCGGTGACGGAGGAAAGATGAGCTACATAGACACTGGCCTTCAGCCCAACACCAGGTTCTATCTATCAGCCATCTTTAACAAGCCATTAGCACTTGATTATCGATGACATCTAATCCTATGTGTGTCTTAAAGAATTCTGGGACTCTACAATAACAGAGCTCTTCAGTAACAGAGCTGCTCTGATACCAAATCATTAAAAGTTTTTAAGAGGAGTGAGCAGGGAGGCAAGCTAATGAGCAGCAGTGTTGGCTTGGAAAGTTGCATTGATCGCGTTCCCCTTGTTACTCAGGATAGGACAGCAACACAACTTTTCTGCTGTTGATGGATAATGAGATAATGAGATGAGATAATGAGAGAAATAGGATTTTTTCCCCTTTTTTTCATACATTTATTAATATTATTACATAATTGAAAAAAGTAAAATGTCTCTCTCAATCTCTCTCTTTCTCTCTATACTGTATATTATATATATTCAATAAATTATATATATATATGGTTATTATAACACTGTAATATAATAATTTATTCTTATTTTATTTTATTAAAATATTTTACATATTTTTACATTTGTACATTAATATTAAATATTAAATTATTTAATTAATAATTAATTAAAGTAGGACATTGTAATTAAAGTATATAAATAATTCAAATATATTTATTAATTATAATATTTATTTAAATATCTAATTTTTATATTAGTATTTTGTATTGTATTTGTAATCAGTTTTGTAGACAAATTTGAATTGTACATTTAAATTGTAATTTTAAACTAATTTTTTTATTTACTGAATAATAAAGAAAAAAATCTGCTTAATGTTCAGCTTAAGTAATTTTGAGGAAAAACATTCTTGATGTAGAAATTTAGCTGTTTTGTCACTGCCTCGTTATTCACAAATATATTCGGTCTTAGCATCTGTGAAATCTGTTGGTTAGCTGTAATCAAAAAATGCACACAGGGACCCTGTGTGTGCAAACTAATTGGTTAGTTTGTGCAATATGTTGTGTAAATATTTGCAATGGTTCAGTCTCATAAGCTGCTTAAGACAGGATAAATCTGTTTGTTTCATTATTTTACAATCAGTGATTCGTAGATTGTTCACTGCATTCTCTCACGTATATATATATATATAGAGAGAGAGAGAGAGAGAGAGAGAGAGAGAATGTATAAACCTTTTTCAACATGCAAATCTATATCTTCTACACGGATTTAAACTGTCAAAACCATGTGTCTTCTGATTGGACAGTTTGGACAGGTCATTCAGTCACCTGACCTCTCTCTCATTGTCCCTCCGCTGCTTTTGTTTATACTGTAGCTCCAAATGGAGTCGGGGATAGCCATGACGTTTAATTTGCCATAATTCCACAGGACCTGCCAAAAGGCATTCCCTTTTCCCGTGCTCTTCCCTTTCCCTTTCTTCTTCCAATTTAGCCCTGTAAGGAGCGTTATACAGTGGCAGACGAACGGTTCATTATCCGGAGAGGCTACAGGCTGATGTGGGGATGCATGTGCTTATAACTTCTTCAAAAAACAGTACTGAATCAGTTAAGGCTGTTAATTAAACTAATATATTCTGTTAATTTACATAAAATTGGTTTCCATTAGTAAGTTATTGTGTTTAAAAGCCCAATTGACTAATATGCTAATTTGTTTGGTTTGTTTCAGCCGAACCACAGGCAATTGTTTTCATAATCACAATCTCATTTAATATTTCTCTCAGGTTAAACGCCATTTGCAAGTGGAGCGCTGAAACCAAGACGAGAAATCTATTAATGACTCGATATGAATTTTTGAACATGTGCAAACTACGTAGATTCATCATTTTGAAGGTTGTCTAATGAAACTGATTTAATTCAAAGGTTTTATTAGACTACAATAAGACTGCCAAAATAATGTTTCATTTGTTGAATCTCTCTCTCTCTCTCTCTCTCTCTCTCTCTCTCTCTCTCTCTCTAGATGTGTGGACAGTGCCCAGGCATATACAGGTGAACTCCTCAGCAGTGGAGCTTCACTGGAGCCAACCTCTCAAACCCAATGGCCTGCTCTCTCAGTATCGGCTGCTGCGTGACAGAGTGGTCATCTTCACCGGTGACGGAGGAAAGATGAGCTACATAGACACTGGCCTTCAGCCCAACACCAGGTTCTATCTATCAGCCATCTTTAACAAGCCATTAGCACTTGATTATCGATGACATCTAATCCTATGTGTGTCTTAAAGAATTCTGGGACTCTACAATAACAGAGCTCTTCAGTAACAGAGCTGCTCTGATACCAAATCATTAAAAGTTTTTAAGAGGAGTGAGCAGGGAGGCAAGCTAATGAGCAGCAGTGTTGGCTTGGAAAGTTGCATTGATCGCGTTCCCCTTGTTACTCAGGATAGGACAGCAACACAACTTTTCTGCTGTTGATGGATAATGAGATAATGAGATGAGATAATGAGAGAAATAGGATTTTTTCCCCTTTTTTTCATACATTTATTAATATTATTACATAATTGAAAAAAGTAAAATGTCTCTCTCAATCTCTCTCTTTCTCTCTATACTGTATATTATATATATTCAATAAATTATATATATATATGGTTATTATAACACTGTAATATAATAATTTATTCTTATTTTATTTTATTAAAATATTTTACATATTTTTACATTTGTACATTAATATTAAATATTAAATTATTTAATTAATAATTAATTAAAGTAGGACATTGTAATTAAAGTATATAAATAATTCAAATATATTTATTAATTATAATATTTATTTAAATATCTAATTTTTATATTAGTATTTTGTATTGTATTTGTAATCAGTTTTGTAGACAAATTTGAATTGTACATTTAAATTGTAATTTTAAACTAATTTTTTTATTTACTGAATAATAAAGAAAAAAATCTGCTTAATGTTCAGCTTAAGTAATTTTGAGGAAAAACATTCTTGATGTAGAAATTTAGCTGTTTTGTCACTGCCTCGTTATTCACAAATATATTCGGTCTTAGCATCTGTGAAATCTGTTGGTTAGCTGTAATCAAAAAATGCACACAGGGACCCTGTGTGTGCAAACTAATTGGTTAGTTTGTGCAATATGTTGTGTAAATATTTGCAATGGTTCAGTCTCATAAGCTGCTTAAGACAGGATAAATCTGTTTGTTTCATTATTTTACAATCAGTGATTCGTAGATTGTTCACTGCATTCTCTCACGTATATATATATATATAGAGAGAGAGAGAGAGAGAGAGAGAGAGAGAATGTATAAACCTTTTTCAACATGCAAATCTATATCTTCTACACGGATTTAAACTGTCAAAACCATGTGTCTTCTGATTGGACAGTTTGGACAGGTCATTCAGTCACCTGACCTCTCTCTCATTGTCCCTCCGCTGCTTTTGTTTATACTGTAGCTCCAAATGGAGTCGGGGATAGCCATGACGTTTAATTTGCCATAATTCCACAGGACCTGCCAAAAGGCATTCCCTTTTCCCGTGCTCTTCCCTTTCCCTTTCTTCTTCCAATTTAGCCCTGTAAGGAGCGTTATACAGTGGCAGACGAACGGTTCATTATCCGGAGAGGCTACAGGCTGAGATTAGCTGTCAACATCGTAGAAAGTCTCTCTGACGAGTGAAATATTAACCTTTCTCCCTCTGGGGAAACTGGGGAAACACTCGCCACCTCTTTTGATGCGCCACATCGTATTTATTTGACTTAAAATATGCAACATACACAATGGCCACGTTGGTATGCACAGCTGTTCTCTGGCGAGACTCTTCATGTGTGTGTTCTCTGATTAATTTCATTAATGCTTATATTACATATGATGAGCACGGTATATAATAACTGATGTGACTATTTTAAAGGGATAGTGCTGGAACAATAGTTAATGTGCAGGTATTAATGGCTGGCTATGGAGTTTATGGCAAATTAAAAGCCTTTAATGTTCAACATGACCCACATACATTGCTAATGCACACCTTTGCACTGACACCCATCTCTGTTTAAAAGGCAAATCTATCTTGTGAAGTCATGTATGTCTTAAAAGAGCCTTCCGTAGAGTGTTTTTATAACCCACATCAGGCGTTAATACATGCGCGTACACACACACACACACACACACACACACACACACTTCCCTTTCTTTTCATATGCATGTCTGTTCAGAGCATCTGTCACGCCTGTCACAGATCACAATGGAGGGGCTGATCAGCATTGCATTAACAATGTCATCTGTTAAATAGTATCACAACATATTGATCCAGCAGGGACTTTTCCAATGAATCAAGTATAATGTAAAAGCAGAATTATAAGAAGGCTTAGTCATCTGAGCCTTTTCTTTTCCCCATTTATATCAGAAACAAAACTGTACATTTCATGAGTGTCAGTAGCTGACTAGTTGACTATTTTTAGATAGGTTTGTTTGTTTATATTTTAGTCAGTGATTTTATTTATTCTAGTGAAACCCTCTGAAAAGTTGTCTTTTAAATTCATTTTGTTTAAAATACTGACAGTTTATTTTGTGTTAATAACCATCTGTCTTTACAGTTACTAACTATTTTTTGGTCACATTCGTTAAATTTAGGCGAAATTTTACATGCAGAAAATGTTTGTCCATTGTCTATCATCAATAGTTTAGTGATGTATAAAACACCGCTCACACAGAAATCAATTTCAAACAAAGCAGCTTTTTGTTTGTCAGTGCAGTGACGTTTTTTTTTTATTATCATTAATATGCTATTATAGATTTTGTTCATATTTTTAATTATATTTTATAGAGAGAGAGAGAGAGAGAGAGAGAGAGAATGTATAAACCTTTTTCAACATGCAAATCTATATCTTCTACACGGATTTAAACTGTCAAAACCATGTGTCTTCTGATTGGACAGTTTGGACAGGTCATTCAGTCACCTGACCTCTCTCTCATTGTCCCTCCGCTGCTTTTGTTTATACTGTAGCTCCAAATGGAGTCGGGGATAGCCATGACGTTTAATTTGCCATAATTCCACAGGACCTGCCAAAAGGCATTCCCTTTTCCCGTGCTCTTCCCTTTCCCTTTCTTCTTCCAATTTAGCCCTGTAAGGAGCGTTATACAGTGGCAGACGAACGGTTCATTATCCGGAGAGGCTACAGGCTGATGTGGGAAAGAGTTAAGCAGGGGGCTGGGGGGTGTTCTGCCAGCACTCCTGCTCATCGATTATTTATGACAATGTTGATTAGCTGTCACTTACCTCAACATCGTAGAAAGTCTCTCTGACGAGTGAAATATTAACCTTTCTCCCTCTGGGGAAACAGGTTAGCCACTCGCCACCTCTTTTGATGCGCCACATCGTATTTATTTGACTTAAAATATGCAACATACACAATGGCCACGTTGGTATGCACAGCTGTTCTCTGGCGAGACTCTTCATGTGTGTGTTCTCTGATTAATTTCATTAATGCTTATATTACATATGATGAGCACGGTATATAATAACTGATGTGACTATTTTAAAGGGATAGTGCTGGAACAATAGTTAATGTGCAGGTATTAATGGCTGGCTATGGAGTTTATGGCAAATTAAAAGCCTTTAATGTTCAACATGACCCACATACATTGCTAATGCACACCTTTGCACTGACACCCATCTCTGTTTAAAAGGCAAATCTATCTTGTGAAGTCATGTATGTCTTAAAAGAGCCTTCCGTAGAGTGTTTTTATAACCCACATCAGGCGTTAATACATGCGCGTACACACACACACACACACACACACACACACACACTTCCCTTTCTTTTCATATGCATGTCTGTTCAGAGCATCTGTCACGCCTGTCACAGATCACAATGGAGGGGCTGATCAGCATTGCATTAACAATGTCATCTGTTAAATAGTATCACAACATATTGATCCAGCAGGGACTTTTCCAATGAATCAAGTATAATGTAAAAGCAGAATTATAAGAAGGCTTAGTCATCTGAGCCTTTTCTTTTCCCCATTTATATCAGAAACAAAACTGTACATTTCATGAGTGTCAGTAGCTGACTAGTTGACTATTTTTAGATAGGTTTGTTTGTTTATATTTTAGTCAGTGATTTTATTTATTCTAGTGAAACCCTCTGAAAAGTTGTCTTTTAAATTCATTTTGTTTAAAATACTGACAGTTTATTTTGTGTTAATAACCATCTGTCTTTACAGTTACTAACTATTTTTTGGTCACATTCGTTAAATTTAGGCGAAATTTTACATGCAGAAAATGTTTGTCCATTGTCTATCATCAATAGTTTAGTGATGTATAAAACACCGCTCACACAGAAATCAATTTCAAACAAAGCAGCTTTTTGTTTGTCAGTGCAGTGACGTTTTTTTTTTATTATCATTAATATGCTATTATAGATTTTGTTCATATTTTTAATTATATTTTATTTATATGTTTTCTGTTTTCATTTTAATGTGTTAAAAATTTGTGTTTTTGTCCTTTTTATTAGATTTTTTCAATATTTCTATATAGTTTTTATTAAGTTTTATTTAGATTTAGTTATTTTAGTACTTAAGCTTTAAATGAAAATGACAAATGTTGCTTTGGCAAATAGCTGTAATAAAATAGGTTTTATTTCAGGAAATGTTTATTTTATTTCAAATTATGTTTTCTTTTAATGGTTTTAGTTTTTGTTAATGATAGTAACCCTGGCGGCGATTCCATGTAGCTTGAACCCGTAGCTAATTCTGTGTGGGGAAATCTTTCGCCCTCACACAAAATTTGCCCACAAAATTTCACTGGACAACGGTAAATGTGATGGTTCATGAAACCATAAATGAACAGATTCAAAAACAAGTAACCAAGTTGGGTTGTTTTTTGTTATAGTTTTTTTTATAATGAAATATTGTGATTTTTTTGTATAATGAAATATTTTTTGCTGCTATTTGATACTAAGATTTCGACTTGGCAATTACAGTGTATTCTGTATTTTTTAATAAAACATTTTTTTTTTTTTTTTTGTAAGGTCTGCTGTAACTGCTGTAAATTTGTCAAAAATTGCTCTATATGACATCATTCTGAACTAGCTGTGCGAGTGATTATTTTTAGCTTGCATTCATGATTTTAAATAACATTTGGTTTGGTACACCGGCATTCATGCCTCAATTCTGAGGACTCCAATGAAAGACGCACATCCTCAAACAAAACTGTGCTTGCTGTGAAAGACACGGCTTAATGGCAGAATCAATGCACCCGCTTCTCTCGCGGACAATGAATAATTAAACGCAGCGTCGCCTCCCACCTGAAATGGAGAATCGCTGAAACAGAGGCAAATTTAACTTCTGTGACAGGAGACTTTTAAGCTAATAGCATAATTTAGTTTCGCAGTTGACTTATTTATGTCCTATCCATCTTTGCTTCACAGATATGTGTACGAGTTGGAGGCCAACACCAGCGGCGGGAGCAGTCTCAGTGATAGATACGTCATTCAGACCCCCGTCTCCTCCCCGGAAAGGATTCCTCCTCCGTATAATGTCAGCCTCCGTGGCCCTCGCTCCATCTTTGTTGCCTGGTCACCCCCAGGTAATGTTTACAACCTAATGCACTATGCAGCCTCTCTATTTAGCACTAAAGCAAGGCTGATTTATCCTTGCTCGGGCCTGCGAAAGTGACGGCATGCGGGCAGGGATTTACGAGTGGCGTTATGTGTAATTTACCAGGAGCCCAACATGGTTGTAGTGTACATGCATCAGTGCGGGCCGGACATAGATTGGTCCCACCAATCAATTAACATTCAAACCTAAGTGACAGCTTTTCCTACCTCTAGTGTGATATAGGGGAGAGTTGTTTGAGATGTGCTTGCCCTTCACCTGCGTGTGTTCTCCCATCACTGTCCAATCGTGTCCCATTCATTCTCTCCTTCTCCGCTGTTGCTGTGGAGTTGAGATGAATTTCAGGTATTTGATGGTGTGTACCAATGCTGATCACGTGCATGTTGGTGCACGACAGCACACATAGGTTTATTTATTTGTTAACTGTATATTTATTTAGTGGCATTCCAGCTTTCTTGGTTGTACTCTGGATTAATCTTCTAAAAGCCCAAAAAGCTGAGATCAAGGGAAGACTGAATGGATAAGTCACCACACACAGAGCTTTTACAGGAAACAATATGTACACTTATGGGGAAAGACTGAACCCCAAGTGCGTAAAGAAATCAGTGAAAGGTGGATGAGGAAGTATCATGGTTTGGGGGATGTTTTGTGCAGCAGGAGTTGGGCCTCTTATAGAGCTACATGGCAGGGTGAATGCAAATGTTTATCAGAACCTCCTTCAGCAACATGCAGTTACTTCATTGCAAGCATCTCCCAATCAGCCTGCAATTTTCATGCAAGACAATGTCCCCTGTCACACTGCAAAACGGGTAAAGCAGTTCCTTGAAGCTGAAAACATTGAAATAATGAAATGGCCAGCCCAGAGTCCTGATCTGAAACCAACTGAAAATCTTTGGCAACAAAGTTATGGCTAAGAAACCCACTACATTATGGAAGAGCCTGGAAGAAAAGTGGACCAAGATCACACCAGCGCAATATGAGAAACTAGCCGCAGATGTGATGAAGGCACTCAAAACAAGGGCCTCTACACTTCCTACTAATTTCTGACAGCTGTAAACCTCCAAAATTTTAGTTGTAATCTTCTTTCGGGCTGCAGTGGTTACTGTTCTCTAATTTTGATCAGTGTTTTCCACAAAATAAATTTTTTGTTGAAATGTCTTGGTTATTTTGTAAAACATGTTTATATAACAGTGCTATACCCACAGCTAATATTCCTTCAAATTTTGAATGATGAAGATTCATAATATTTCAGAAAAAGTCAAGTATTTATAGATTGTTCTCTAATTTTGATCTCCACTGTATGTGTGTGTATGTATGTACAGTCAAACCAAAATTTATTCTGACACCTTCAACATTTCACACATTATCACAGATTATTTGCTATAGTTTAGAAAATGCTAATAAAATATGACAAGAACTCGGAGTTAAACTGTGTCGGAACAAATTCATCTTGATAATGTCATATAACACTTAAGCAAAACATGGTCAGGTCAAAGTGTATAAAGAATTTTTGGGTATAATATGTCACAGTTTACTTTATTTTGCTATCCTCACTTATATAAATTAACTATAGTGTCCTGCACCCACTAGTTAAAAATATAAAAAATTATATCTGGTGTCTGTTTGAGTGTATATAGATGCTGTTTACTGCTTGCAGAATAATTGCGATCCTCCATTTTTTGCTAGAAAAATACTGCACTCATTAAAAAAAAAAATGTTTTTTTAAATATATATATATATATGATTTTTAAAATAAAGTTAGAGTGTGGTGTGAAACACAAAGGCAATGAACAGAAAATAACTTTTAAACAAATTTTTTTAATCATTTTCTGGGAAGTCCCTTTTGTGGAGGCCATGTTGTCATCCAGAGTGTGTTGTCTTTGCTGTGGTCCTGCATGATCTTCTCATCATGTCATTTGCAGACTGCAACCCACAGGCCTACAATGATCAATCAGTCACTCTGTTTACACTCTGAGACTGCAGCACCAGGCTCATCTGCACATCTCACGGTGCATGTGGACCGAACATTCTGCCACATGGAGAGCAAATGCAAACTCTCCTTCTCTTTCTCCCTGTGGTATTAGCTGTGGTAGTTCATAGACTCAAGCACCCCAGACTGCTACCCAGCCCACCTGCTGCACATATGTGCAAGAGAGCACATATGTGCAGCATCTACCCTTTGCATGTCAGATCTGTGTGTATGTGTTCAACTGGTCATGTGTCCAAAGCGAAGCGGTGTGGGTGGGTGAGTGTTAAAGCGTGTGCGTGCATATTCACACACTCAAGAGTGATTTCACAGACTACATTCAAGCGGTCCTGATTGTCTGCCTCAGATGGTCCATCTTTTGCTATTATTGCCCCATTATGCCTCTCTCCTGTGAGAGGATCCCCTTAAACAGCCTCAATTACACCATAAGAGCCCTTAAACAGCCCTGATACCCACAGAAAACATTTACATAGCCCAGATCTTTTATTGACTTTACATTCAGAGAGAGGCAAGCGAAAAATCTATGGCTTCAAACTACAATATCTCACGCTTGGTTAAGTCCGAATGCAGAAACGGGCACGGTTTTAAGCTGCACCTGTGCTTGATGGATCAGATCTGATAGCATGTTCCTTTTCTTTTCCTTTGTGCCATTATTTCTTATTAGACTCTCATTCAAGTTGAAAGTGCAAAAACTCCAAAGTCAGTGATTAGTTGTAAATAATAGAACTTAGGGACCTGTGCGATTGAACTTCTCAGGCAGGAAGCTTTGATCAAAGCGCCGTCTAATTCCAGTGGGTTTTTGTGTCTCAGGCAAAAGACTACATCTGCTCAGGGAGACGCAATGAAGGAAGTTGAATAATTTAACTTTTTCATTTGTAAAGATAATCAGCCCGTTCTGAATACATCTCGGGTCTCATAAATGTTGAATAACCTATCAGCCTCCAGTTGCCGTAAATTATGAAAGGCGCTAGTGATGGGAATATTAACAAAGCGTGGATGCCGGGACTCTACATTCTTTAGTTCAAATGCATTACCGAAGACTGTGTGCGTGTCTGTGCGTTTCTGACAGAGGTGGGATAGACGGAATGGGGGAAGTGCCTGCTGGCCTAGAAGGATGTTGAATCAAGGGCAAAGCTTCCCAAAGTGTCAGATCCACTGTATGTCAGTACTTGCACTGTATTACGAGTACATACGGCTCTTCATATATTGTGATTGTGGACTGGGTGAGCTGATTGTGTGTTTGTTTTCTTGGTGGGTTGGCACTAATCTTTTCGGTTAGTTTGTCAGTTTAGTTATTGGTTTAGTGAGTGGTTGCATTTGTGTCCCGTTTCTACTATCATGTTTTTGCTTAAACAAGATATGATTGGATATCAGTTAGTAAAAAGAAGTAAATGTGACTTTATATTTCTGTTTCCCTTTAAGGTGTGTATAATTCAAGTGCCCCTTTGGAATATAACGTCCTGCTCAATGCAGGCACTGAGCGGCCCCTCATCCGCCCTGCTGGACCAGAGCACTTCCTGTTACTGCAAGGACTGGACCCCTACACCGTCTACCACATTCAAGTACAGGCCTGTCAGCCAGGTACTCTGAAACCTAAGCAGTGCAAAACTTAAGAAAATAGTCAAATAAAAGACGGATGAAAGAAGAAAATATAGAAAACAGAAACTGAAAAGATACGATTAGGGGCATAGATTTCATTTCAGGTATACAACAATCAGATCGTTTGAGTTAACTTGAGTTAAATTTTTAAATATTTGGCTCTGTAAATGCTTAATGTATTTAAATCAGTATCCAAAATAAGGGGGGGAAATCAAGGAAACATATTTACAATTTGTCCTTTCTCTCTGTTTAAATATGTTGTATTAGTTGTGATTTTAGCTATGTATCAAATGGTTTCATTTAAATATTTGTATGTGCAGATGGTTGTGGTGTAGGACAGTGGGTGTCTGTTCGGACCCCTGAGGCTGCTCCGTTAGCTCAGGACCCTCCAGTTCTCACAGCTGCAGGTGCGGCCGTTATCGAGGTCCGCTGGAGTCCGCCAAACAAACCCAACGGCCTCATCACTAGCTACTTCATATACAGGTACAAAGCACTCACTCTCACATACGATCAACAAAACATCCTGGCATCTCATACCATGCTGCTCACTGCACAATATAAGACTCATTTGATCACTCTGCACACTCTGTCATCAGGATTTTTGTCTGATAGGCTGTAGAATTTGTAGTCTGTAGTCTGTTTGCTAGAACGTTATTTTGTCAACTTAATCTGTACAGCCTAAATATTTACTTACTGTATCACCCCCTGATTTTGAAAATTGTAACATTTAAGTAAGGGATAATGCACGGCTAGCTGTGCATTAAAAGATTTTAATGCATGACGTGGAGGCCAAGAACCAGGCGACGCGAAGCTTATACTATGGTCATTTGCCAGCATTGACAACTTAAAGCTGTTTATGATGTTTGCAGCGCAATATTTGACCGGAAGGGTAAAAATGACAGTTGTTTTCGTCAGTTATGGCTCATTAGCTCTATCATTCTGCCCGCTTCAAATCAGACACAGAGATAAATTAGTGCGGTAAGCCCACATTTATTTGAATTAATTATAGCATTTATTTGAATTAATTATCAATCGAGAGAGAGAGAGAAGAGAGAGAGAGATGACAGTTGTGTGTGTGAATTACCTGCATCTGCGTATCTCTACAAATAATGAAGCTGAGTTTAGTTACTTCAAAAACACCTCGTGGCTGAGAAATATAATGGAGCGATCTAGTATCCAGGCTGTTTTATTAATATAAGTCACAGGGCAGCGCTGACAAGATATCTGACCTCTCTCTCTCTCTCTCTCTCTCTTTCTCTCTTTCTCTCTGTGTGTGTGTGTGTATGCATCAATGAAAGCAGTGCATTAATATAGAACGGTGATTGACTTGGAACTACCTGTGCATTAAACGGTTTTAATGCATACCTGCCAGCCAATCAGAATCGTGTATTCAGACAGACCATGGTATAAATAAATATAATGAATGAAACATTATTTTTGTATAAATCAGAATAGAATGTAATATTTAATGTTTTATTTTAAAGATTACAATGATGTATTAATCAAATTAAATACATTTGAAATCATTTTAATTCATGTTTTTTTATATTAATTCATTTATTATTATTTGAATTTACTTTAGCATTGCTGTTTCTACTCACAATCTCAAAAATCCCCTGCAGTTCCATCATGAACCACTAGGTTCAAAAACCTTTGTGCAGGCCTTCCCCTTCCCCTTCCCCTTGTCCCTTGAAACAGAGTGTCAAGGGGTAGGGGTGAAAATAGCTCCTACAAAACACACACCCCATTCTATATTAATGCGCTGCTTACTGACACACACACACAAACATATATCAGAGATCGCACAGCTCACACATCCAGGAGCAAAGAAACTTGTCAATGCTGCCCCACGACTTTTATTAATAACAGTTTAAATACTGAATCACTACATTATATTTTCCAGCAACAAGAGGATAAAATCGCTGTTTTTGAAGTAAACTCACTCTAAAAAGAGAGACGCGCATACACGCAGCTTTCATCTCTCTCTCGCTCTCGAATTGGCAATATTTGAAGGGTTTAGCGATTTATAATTATTGGGGGGACTAGCCCCCCTCAATGTCTATGGTGGTTATCGCCCTGATCAGACATAAAAATATGTTGTGGCATATATCGTGCAGTCTGTAAGGATATGACGTTAGCAAACTTTAGCGATTTTTTGCAAACATTTCTTTGAGTAACATGACCGTAAATATGAACTCACGATTGAATGTAACAAAATATGAACTCATGATTGAATGTAACATAAAACAAATGAATACTTTTCGTTAAAATCTTTTATTAATGCCAAAAATGCTTACATTTGTGTCTTTTTGTTCTCTTGGGCAGCCATGTTGCCCCTGAAGCCGGTTTACGCTGAGACAATTCATACCCCTTTGTTTGAAGTGTGGTCCCGAAACATCTTTGTTTGAAGGGTTATCTGGCCTTTCCCCTTACCCCACCCCTCCAACCAAAAGAGAATCGAGACACCCCTACCCCTTCACGTGAACGCGCGAAACAGAGGGGAAGGGGAAGGGCTAAGGGGTAGAATTGGGATTGGGCCTAAGACATTTGAAAGGAGACATTTGGCACAGAAATGTTCACTGATAATTCAGCATTTCCGTTCATACGTTGCCTGGTAATTGATCCCATAACTTTGGTGCTACTAGTACCATTCTGTACTGATTGAGCTACAGAAACGTCAATGAGTAAAAAAAAAGACTCCTCATTAAAAATTTGATGGAAATTAAGAATCATCAGAATAAGAATAGAATATTCATAGCTATATGTGACCCTGGAACACAAAAATAAGGGTAAATTTTTCGAAATTGAGAATAAATAAGCTTTCCATTGATGTATGGTTTGTTAGGGTAGGACAATGTTTGGCTGAGATGCAACTATTTGAAAATCTGGAATCTGAGGGTGCAAAAAAATCTAAATATTGAGAAAATCGCCTTTAAAGTTGTTAAAATTAAGTTCTTAGCAATGCATATTACTAATATATATTACTAAACAAAAATTAAGTTTTGATATATTTACAGTAAGAAATTTACAAAATATCTTCATGGAACATGATCTTTACTTAATATCCTAATGATTTAAAAGAAAAATCAATAACTTTGACCCATACAATGTATTTTTGGCTATTGCTACAAATATACCCCAGCGACTTAAAGGGGTCTTATTATGCTCTTTTACAATGTCTTGATTTTGTTTTGGGGGTGTATTAGAACATGCTCTCATGCTTGGTGGTTCAAAAAACGCATTATTTTTTACATAATTTACATTATTACAACACCTTTCTCCCCAGTCAGGCACAAACGGCTCGATTAGTTCCGGGTTTGATGAAGGCCCGCCTTCCGAAAAACGAAATGTGATGTGATTGGTTAGTTATCCCAGTGCGTTGTGATTGGCGAACAGCTTAGACGGTGTTTCAGTACTGCCCCGCCCCTTGCCAAAGTAGCAAGTTCCGTCTGCTCCGGTATAGTTAAGGATTGCGTCAATATTGCCATATCAATTTGAGCCGGAATCAAACCCCGACAATATTGAACAAGAGGATCGCGCAGAACCTTTGCACGCACGGATATTGCAAGACATATTAGAGTGGTAACGTTTTTGTTTTGTTTTTTGTTTTTTTTGCTAAATCACGTTTTAGATAGGATGTCAACAACCGCTTAAAAATAACTGCATTTACTATGTAAGTGCATATGTGTTCTTTTTATTGTTATTTAATTCTAACATTATAACATGAATTGCAGTGAAACTGTTATACAGTTGAATTTATTTATATACCATAGTCCAGCGTTTCCCAGGTGGCATATATATGCAAACTCATTCTCTGCCAGCAGGTGGCGCTGTTGGAGTGGTAGAGATCAAGGTTTCCCCGGTAACGGCTGAACACAAAGCAGCGCTCCGCTCAAAAAAACACTGCTTTATCAGACATTACATGCAAGATTAAATGAAAATGACATCCAATAAGATTAAATTAAAATGACATCCAATTTTCTGAAGACAGTGGGTTTCCTTCAGAAATACAGTGATATAATGATATTATATAGTGATATTCTGTTTCAGTTTTTATAACCACTTCTTACCATGTGTAAGTAAGTTGTTGTTTTTTAGCATGTGTGTTTGGCAGTGTTATTTTTTAGGATTACTGATAAACTACTGTCATTTGATTTGTATTATTTGTATTTGTTATTTATTTTAATTTTAGTTACATTATGTCTGAATTTATTATGTCTGTATAGGTCTTTTATTAAGTTTTTAGTTTTATTTAATTTGAGTTATTTTAATACTTCAACAAACTAAATGGAAATGAAATAATATATATATATATATTGAATTTATAAATGTGTATGTACATATACAGTATATATGTATGTGTGTGTGGTTGTACATACACATATGTAGTTGTTTTTTTTTGTGTTTGGCTTAGTGTTATGTTAGAATCATTATTATACTCTTATACCTTTTGTTCTTTAATATTTTGAATTGTTTTTAGCTTTATTTTTTTTTAAATGTTAAGTTTTGAAATTTTGTTGTGTGCATTTGTCATTTTTATTTAATCTCTTTATTTTTAAAATGTGTATAGGTAGTATTTATAAAGTTTTAGCTTTTAGTTTTGGATCTGTTTTTAGTTGTTTTAATACTACAATTGATTGCTTCTGTTGTCCTCATTTGTAAGTCCCTTTGGATAAAAGCGTCTAATAAATGACTAAATAAATAAATATAAAAACACCCGCACTCAATGTATTGGAAACACTGTAGTCTCATAATTGAAGTGTAAATTCTGCAGATTACATCATTGTCCAGTATTGTACTGTCAGCAATTTATTATAAAAACGTTTTCATAATTGTAACATGCATATTTACATAATTATTCAGGTGCATGTGTAATAAATTTCCATAGGCGGGAATTATTTTAATGATATTCTAACGGACCGCTTTGTGATATCACAAAACCCGGAAAACAAACGCTGTAGTCCAAACGAGCCGTTCGTTGTAGTTCTTGAAAAGGGATTTTTTTTTTTAACGAAATATCTCCCTTTGGAGTGGACTTTGAGATTTGTAAGTTTGAAGATCTTTTTTATACCCAAACTACACACTGACTGAAATTCAAAAAGTGAAAAAGCATAATAGGACCCTTTAAGACTAGTTTTGTGGCCCAGGGTCACATATTATCATGACATCCAGTTGTCAGTACTTGAATAAAGTTGGTTCCATCAGCATAGGGACATTTAAAGACATATTTTGGCTCTGTGGACATGTTACCCAGTACTATTTATTAGCACTCCTCTCTCAATCTCTGCAAATGCACTTCCATACAAAGATGCTGTCAGGCTAATGTCAGTGCAGAGCTTGCATGGGGATAAATGTGTGTGTAGATGTGAGTCCATGTCAGGGCATGTTTGAAAGGAAGGCCAAAAACGTAGTCGAACACAAACAATAATTATGCTGTGACCTTGAGGAGAACAGGCCAATCACTGCTGGTTACACTTGTCAACATTTCCTCTCTAGTTCCTTTCTAACTGACAGCAGGAAAACGCAGAATGGAGTGTGGAGTGCTTATGTGGATATCAGCTGTATATCAGTGACTGTGGTATCTGAGCGCAGAGAAGAGGGAGAGAGAGAGGCTGATCGGCAGCTCTAAATGGAAGATGACATTGCCCTGCTGACTTTGATTATTCCAGGCACATTCAGAGCTGTTTGAGAGCAATATGAAACCGAATGCCATGATGCTTGCACCCCGCACAGAGGAAATAAAGCTAAGACTGACATGGCACGATCACATCAGAATGCTTTACTCCGCTGTTACAGAAGCATCCTTCAAAGAGAACGGAGAGCGATGCACCAGGGAGTAGCTAACTCTTATCATTACGCTGCCATCATTGCCCTTATGTTCAGAAACAACACAGTGTTTGAACCTTTATTGCTGCACATCGTGAACGCCAATTTAAACCATTCAGATTTGACTTGAAGGATTCCAGACAATGATCAGATTAAACTATATATTGAGATGTCTTCCCAACGTTTTCGCTCTTGGATGGCAGCAAAAACAGTGTTTACAGCTTCTATGCGAGTATGATTATGTGTGTGTGTGTGTGTGTGTGTGTGTGTGTGTGTTAGCAACAGGGTAAGATTTTAGTCAAGGGCAATGCGGCTTGTTGTCCAGTGTCATTCATTTGCAAGGTCAGATCAGTCTAAGCCCGCATAAATCTTAAGAAAATATTAGCATAGCCACAGATGCCGGGGCATTCCGACAAACGCATGACTAGATTTCATCTTAGCCCTGATTTGGGAGCGGGATAAACTCTGGCAAATATATCACATTCAGGGGGCAAAGAATTCACTCGTGGCTTAAAGGACTTGGTGTATTATTCTATCTGCTCATCTTAATACCAGCGATCAGTGCTGCGCTAAATGTAATCGGTTTAATGTGCTATTGTGTATGTATTCAGCTCATTGGAGGTTATCTGAAATTGTGAAGTGAGTGTCCCCTCCTCAGGGATGTTTGTCCTCCACGCATTTAACTTATATTACACAGGAGAATCCCACCTGAGATAGTCCTTGGCTGCTGTACAGAATTATTGTAAATCAGTTCCTAAGAATACATCCATGTTCATATTGCATGCATACAGTTGCTGCAGATGCTGGTGAGACAATAAAAGCATTGATGAAGTTTTAACTCCTTATTCAGCTAGCTGTTACAGCCTCAAGATGCTGGACTACTGAAATGGGTCATATCATGATAAATCAAATTCTTGTTGATGTTTTAAAGTAAAAGAGTGATTTATTGATATGTAAATAGATTACATTGGAACTAATCAGCAAAAATGTCTCTGGATTTTTGACCTCATAAGGAGGAAGTAGGATAGATAGGATATATATTTTATTTTAAAAAATTGGAAAGCTCTTCCTGGCTATGTGTAGCACCTGCTGCTCTGCATGCCTGTCCAGTGAATCCTAGGTGTTATGAATTTATATATAGGTAAGTATTTTTAACAAGTTTTTTTAAGAAGTCTCTTATGCTCACAAAGGCTGCATTTATTTGTTTAAAAATGCCGTAAAAACAGTAATATTGTGAAATATTATTACAATTTAAAATAACAGTTTTCTTTTATATATTTGATATGTAATTAATTCCTGTGATGGCAGAGCATTGTGTAAGTGAAGAAGTCCTGTTGCTCATTTTAGCTCATTTCTGTCTGTTAAAAGGTACAGCAGCAAAAATTTGCAATTTAATTGAAAAATTCATAGTGGGAAGTCAAAAAAAATAAATAAATAAATAACTTTACCTACATTTTTTAACCAGTGGAATAAAAGTAAATGGGAAAAAAAAGACATCTTGTGCTCCAGATGCAGTGTCTGTATGTGTCTGGAAAAGACTGCTGATCGCAGCTGTGTGCTGTAGTTTAGCGCCATGGTGTGAGACGTTCCTCTCCCCTGCCAGTCTCTGTTTGGCTTTATTTTAATGCAGTGGGTGAGATTAGGCCGTTGCGGTGCGAGTGGGGCCGGCAGGGGCCACATTAGAGCGGTGAATGTCATTTTCTCCAGCAGCATGGAAGCCAGGCCTCTAATGTGGAGGAATTAACGAAGCTTGAGCAAAGCCCAGCGCTCTGCCCCTGCTCCTCATGCATCTCTGTGTGCTCTTCCTCATCTCTGCATCCTTCCTTTGGCACCCCCACTATTTGTTTGTTTTGGGGCCTCATTTTTAACTGCAACCACATTTGAATGGTCTTTAAAGAATATACTTTGTGTGTTTTGTCATATTTTTCCTGTCTTTCATTAAATGGCAGATGTTTTTTCATGTAATCTTAATTCTGTCTCTTCCAGACGACCAACTGGAACTCAAGAGGAGCTGCTGGTGTTCATCTGGACCGAAGGTCCCCTAGAGTTCACCGATGCCTCAGATTCCCTTCTACCGTTCAGTGAATATGAATACAGAGTCACCGCCGACAACTCTAAAGGCTCTGCCTTCAGCTCCTGGACCTCCGTCCGAACTCTAGAGGCAGAACCGCAGGGAATGGACGCGCCCTCGGCCCGCCCTGCCAGTGCCTACTCTCTTCTGCTGAGCTGGACCCAGCCTAGCATGCCAAACGGAGGGATCTCCAAGTACAGAGTGGTGTACCAGAAACTACTCAACGATCCTACGTTCAACTCCACAACTGTTACTGCTCTTACAGTTCTGGTAATACTCTTTTCTCCCATCTGTCCATACATTCTGTGAGAAGTTATAAATGAACCATGTGCAAAGAAGCAAGACGTTTGAGTAATGTTCCATGAAATAGCACCCATAAAAAAGATTTTACACAAATCTATCAAATTAATAAAGAGGCAACTCTTTTTTTCCCCATTATTAGACAGAAACCAGAATTAAAGAAACCGTTATCTGTGATAACATCATAACATCAAAGAACAATTAAACACATCAATAGCTGTAGTCATTTTGTCACAATAAATGAGATAAGTTGTCACAATGGCAATTAAATAGCCTATTGTAGACTTTTCAGCAAAAGGTTATTAATAATGAAACACAAAACAATATATTACACAAAACAAATATAAACATATAATATTTCATTAATAAATTGTATACACTACTGTTTAAAAGTTTGGGTTCAGTAAGATTTTTTTTTAATTAATAGTTTTATTTTCCCTTTTACGGGGTAATGTGACCCTACTGCTGACAAAAAAACTTTTTAAGAGATATTAAAATAGATAACATTTATTTTAAATTGTAATAATACTTCACAATATTGCTGTTTTTAGTGTAGTTTTGATCATGTAAATGCAGCTTTGATAAACTTAATGTTTAAAAAAATTAATAAATAAAAATAAAAAAGATATTACAGACCGAACCTTTGAACAGTAAATTCATAAACATTTAAAATGCTTGACAAAATGCAGAAAACACCCTTGTCTGAAAACAGAGTTAGGCTTTCAGTTAAAATCTTTAACTCAAATTATAGTTGTTGTTTTTTGTTAAGTATAGTTAGATTGTTTGCTTAGATTATTCTTATGATTTATTTTGAGCCTACTTTGAGTGTGTATTTGACCCATTGTTGTGTTTTTGGCTGTAACTGCTTCTAGTTCCGAGTTCAGCTTCAGCACCTGAAATTTCCAGTCTCCAGCATCAGCATCTGTCTGAGATCATTCATCAGCGATCAGCCCATTGCTCGCATGTTTACACAGATTCCTCATCCGCTGATGTCTCCACCTATAAAAGTAGCCGCTGTGATTCATGTTTGACACCGAGGAAAAATAGTGTGCTGCTTTCCTCGCAGATGCACACAACTGCATCATGGCCAAATTAAAGGCTTCAGCTTGAGCTCCTGTTCAAAACAAGTGTGAACAGAGCCAGCTTGCCCCCTGATAGCAGCAACACCATAGGGGAAAGAATCCAGAACCCACTGAGGAGTTCAGCTTCTCCCACAGAGCACCAGATAGATGCCTGCCTAATAGACAAATTAATTATTTTGATAGCAATTAATGAACGTCATCCAGGATAGGCCTTTTATCAGCACCCCTCTTTTCTTCGAGAGTAATTTACAGTTCCGCTTCTATTCTCTTGGCAGTCCTTTCAGGTTTTCTTGACCTCCAGAGGTCGGCTTCAGTGGTGAAGTGTGACGTCAGATTGCAGTTAATCAGCTTGTAATTAATTTTCCACGTGTCCTCAACCCTCTTGAGTTATGACCCTGGCCTTCTAATGGCTGATGCAAATTTATCATTTTGCAAATTGTGCATTTTGTTGTACATTTTTATAATATAACTTATGATTACAAATTTTATTTTTATAGAGTATTTAATGTATAATGTAAATTTTATAAGAATACATTTTGGGAATAAATATTATGTTTCGTTACTTATTGAAGCTGCTTGAGAAATTGCACTAGTATTTTCAGTTTTTGATTTCTAGCAGATAGAACCAGGCTAATTGTTTGTAATGTAAAGAAAGGAGTTTACAATATAAAGGTCATTTACCCATACTGCTCTGAGTTTTTCCATGGTCATCTGCTGAAGACACTGCCCAATCGCATAACAGCTGCCATGGGCAAATTGTAGTGTGGGTATTAGTGCAATTTCTCACGTGAACAGAGCCAGCTTGCCCCCTGATAGCAGCAACACCATAGGGGAAAGAATCCAGAACCCACTGAGGAGTTCAGCTTCTCCCACAGAGCACCAGATAGATGCCTGCCTAATAGACAAATTAATTATTTTGATAGCAATTAATGAACGTCATCCAGGATAGGCCTTTTATCAGCACCCCTCTTTTCTTCGAGAGTAATTTACAGTTCCGCTTCTATTCTCTTGGCAGTCCTTTCAGGTTTTCTTGACCTCCAGAGGTCGGCTTCAGTGGTGAAGTGTGACGTCAGATTGCAGTTAATCAGCTTGTAATTAATTTTCCACGTGTCCTCAACCCTCTTGAGTTATGACCCTGGCCTTCTAATGGCTGATGCAAATTTATCATTTTGCAAATTGTGCATTTTGTTGTACATTTTTATAATATAACTTATGATTACAAATTTTATTTTTATAGAGTATTTAATGTATAATGTAAATTTTATAAGAATACATTTTGGGAATAAATATTATGTTTCGTTACTTATTGAAGCTGCTTGAGAAATTGCACTAGTATTTTCAGTTTTTGATTTCTAGCAGATAGAACCAGGCTAATTGTTTGTAATGTAAAGAAAGGAGTTTACAATATAAAGGTCATTTACCCATACTGCTCTGAGTTTTTCCATGGTCATCTGCTGAAGACACTGCCCAATCGCATAACAGCTGCCATGGGCAAATTGTAGTGTGGGTATTAGTGCAATTTCTCACGGCTACATTTATAATCCATCGATCCTGCAAAATCTTTTTTTGGACACTGACTTTGTGCTATATCAGCTGTCCGCTGCCATGTCAATACTTGGCCTGCAGTGGGGCATCATATTGATTTAGCTGTTGCCAACTGTTGAGTGGCTACAGGTTAATTAGTTTTATATAGTTTATATCTATATTGAAAAATGTCTATAGATAGAAACTATATAAAAATAGTTTAATTAAAACAATTAAAGAATATAAATTAAAAATTATTTAAAAACATTTATTTTATCATTGAACAAATTCCAATATTTAAATAGTTTTTACCAATT